TGCCCCACTCTAGTCCCACTCCGCTTAGTGCCCTACTGCCTGTGCCAGTCACAGCCCCTGCTCCATTCAGCACTTCAACAGCTTCGAGTGTTGAGAGTGCCCCCTGCAGTTACAGCGGCAGCAAATGCAGCCTTTGAAAACCACATTTGTATCAACCTCTGTCACATTCCCACGCCATACTTTCCAGACCTGAACCAACTCACTGGGTAAAAAACTTCTTTTTCCTTGTGTTGCCTGTAATTCTTTTATCATACAACTCAATCTTTGTGCCAATAGAAACAGTTTGTCCCTACTCTCCTTTGTCCAGATGAGTCATGGTTTTGGACAGCTCTATCAAATCTCCTCTCAACACTCCTTTTGCATAACGCAGAAAGGCCCATCTTCTCCAGTCTTTATCCATCTAACTGGAGGTATATCCCAGTGACAACTCCCATAAATCCTCCCTGCACCATCTTTGGTGCCTTGGCCTCCTTGAGAATGACAGGGATATCGTAGCTGGGTTTCAAAATGTGTGTGGACCGTGCACTATAGATTGCAATGTACTCATTATTATATTGTTGTTTGTTCAGGGTGCCTGTGGAAGTTGTGCTAAAATTTTTCTCAGCTCTTGTCCATCCGGAATGGCTCCAATGGTAGGTGATGGTTTGGATAATTGCAATAAACAAACAACACGCTGATTTAATCAGTTAGTTAATGGCTTCTAGGCTTGCACACATTCATCTGATGCATGTCAGTTTCATTCTGAACAAAGTGAAGATGGAAGTTACAGTAGGATGGCTCACTACATTACTCACTCGCCAGTGTTTGTAATGATCCAACCAGGTGCAGCTATTTACAGGCAGGATTTCCTTTTCTAAACGCTTACATGGGAGTTCTCAATGTCAAACATTGACCTGAAGACACAATCAAAAGTAGTTGAGACAGAAGCATATAATTTTAAAAAATTAAGAACAAACAGCCTACATTTACAGAGCATCTTTAAGATACAAGCACAACACAGAGGTGTAATTACAGGAAATCTGACAGCAAGCATGGAAAGAGATTTGAGGAGATTTGACCCCATTTTGGTAGTTTGCTAGGGGCAAGGGAGTATTTATTCAGGCAGGAGGAGATCCTGTCTCCCTCCACCTCTGTCTTAAATCTGTGATGGAAAGTGAACAATCTTCCTTTCCCCTCTGCCAGTTAAGGCTCTTAAGATGGTAGTTAATGCCCACTTTGGGGCCTCATCATGCTGTCGCCAGTATTAGCCCAATTGTTGTGGAGGGGTACTGTGTCATTTAAAGGCACCTGGTGCCTGTTTGAGGGATGTTGGGGGTCCCACTCCTGAAAGTTGAGCCATTGTCCCAATTGCTGATTCTATTATCCCTTCATTTACCTTCCGCCATTGCTCAGCTGTGCCTGGCTCTCTTTGTGATCCAAGGCCTGGGACAGGTGCAGTACCGGCAGCAAGTTACTTCTTTCCTGGTGGAACTACTGAATAAAGAAGAGCTGCTGACCTCTGATTGGTCAGCATCTATCAGTGGGCAGGATTTCCATGCAGGAGTCCTTCATCATGGATCAAAGCCCATGGTCAAGTATCTGAGTGGGATCAGATATGGCATGCTTTCTTTAAAAGACGCAAATGATTGTTTCACCAGATCTTCAGACAGTGGTTGAGACCCCCATTGTTTCCACAAGATTTCCTACCTCCCACCCAGATGGACAGATATTTTGTCAAACAAGTCAGTTTTAAAATTGTTTCTTGAAGAAGGAGAGGTGAAAGAGAGAGAGATGGAGCTGCAGAGAAATTGAAAGAGAGAATTCTAGGGCATAGAGTCTAAAAGGCTGAAGGACAGCCACCGATAGTGGAGCGAAGGAGGTCTACGTATGTTAATGATTTCATTATGAATGAACTTGCTGCATTTTACCTCACATCCTTCCCCTTCTTCAGTAAGGACAGCCTCACATGCATCAATAATCTAATCAAGGCTATTCTCTTTATATTCTTTGAAGCAGTTTGTATTAGATATGCCTTCCATGTATATAAGGTAAGACAGACATCAGGACCATTATATAGTTTCTGCACAATTCAAGGATTTAAACTGCCCTTTTTGTGATTACTGTCTGATTTAGGACACCTTTAGCCATGGGTGCTTTTACGTGAGCAATATGATTGGATTGCAACTGCCAACACAAGGCTGCAGCAGAAACTGCAATGAAACAGTAATTGTAAGTAGAAACTAAAATTATTAAAATTCAGAATTTAAAGTCCCAGGATAGAATTTGAACTCAAAGGACAAGACTTTACAAGTCTCATGATGACGCTGATACTGAGGATGACAGGATGGATAATTTACGTGTAAAAAAACTATATTCACTAGAGTTTAGATGGATGAGAGGGATCTGATTAAAATGCATAATATTCAACAAAGTGATCTTGGGGTACAGGTTCATAGTTCCTTGAAAGTGGAGTTACAGATATACAGGGTAAGGAAGAAGGCATTTGGTATGTTTGTCTGTATTAGTCAGTACATTGAATAAAGGAGTTGGGAGGTCATGTTGCAGCTGTACAGGGCATTGGTTAGGCCACTTTTGAATACTGTGTTCAATTCTGGTCGCCCTGCTGTCGGAAAATGTTGTTAAACTTGAAAGGGCTCAGAATAGATTTATAAAGATGTTGCAAAGGTTGGAAGGTTTGAGCTAAAGGGAGAGGCTGAATAGGCTGGGGCTATTTTCCTTGGAGCATCGGAGGCTGAGGGGTGACCTGATAGAAGTTTATAAAATCATGAGGGGCATGCATTTGGTTAATAGCCAAGATCTTTTTCCCAGGATAGGGGAGTAGAAAACTAGAGAGCATAAGTTTAAGGTCAGAGGGCAAAGAATTAAAAGAGACTTAAGGGACACGCTTTTCATGCAGAGAGTGATGAGTGTATGGAATGAGCTGTCAGAGGAAGTGGTGGAGGCTGGTACAATTACAACATTTAAAAGGCATCTG